TCCCCCCCCCCCCGGAAGTGTCGTCTACGAATCCCGAACGCGCGAGCAATTTTCCGCGTTTTTCTTTCGAGAGAATTTAATGGCGATTCCGATATTTCATTAAGCTCTTAGAACCGTTTCGTCCGTTACAGGTACAAATACAATATTTAATTTCTCAACAATTTCATTTTCTAATAATGTAAAACGTATAATCTAATAATGTAATATTTTATTAATGTTTCCTAGTTTAATTCAGTCTCTTCCGTACTTAGAATTTCCGGTTTCCATTGCGTCCTAATCTAAAGTCGCGCGAGAGTTTAAGTCCCGGTCTACAATAGGTGTTTTAAGCCCTAAGCCTTAAGAAATTATTCAATCACAGTTGAATTTGAGGAGAATAATTGACTGTGATTGGTCAATTTCTTAGGGCTTAGGACTTAAAACACCTATTGTAGACTGGGACGACTAATGAACGCCATCCACTCGTCGTTCACGAAACGTAGGTTTCTGGTCGAGGTACTTAGCAAGATGAGAAAGAAGAAAAAGAAAAAAGGAGAGAAGGACGTCACGCGCGGCCGACCGCTCGCGTGACGTCGATTAGATAATTCGGTGGAAGGGAAACGGGAAACCCGCGCCGCGCCGGGTCTGTCGTGGATTTGTGCGGATGTGCAATCGCGGTTTTACTGGGCAGGTCTTCGGAGACCGGCCCCTGTGTCTGCCATATGACAATACCATCTGCGCGGCCCATGCCGGGCGACCAGACCAGGATACCGCCAGTGATCCTGCGGGATATAGGTGGCTACGCGCCACGACGGGGGTGCGGGAGCATCTTGCAAGCCTTGCGGAGCCCCCGGCCTTTTCAGAGACGGAATCGAAAGGTGCGCCCTGCCGCAGGCCAGAAAAGATGCAGCTGGCAAAATAATCGCGCAATCGCCGAAACGCGACTCCGTAACGCCGCGCGCCGGTCATCGCGCACCGAGCATTGCGCGCGTGACGTTGTCTCGTGACGGACCGGAGGTGAATTATTATTGCATCGGATATTGCTGTATGGCAATAAAATGCGCAAAACCCGAGTAAATTAAGTCATTACTTCCCGCAATGGCAGGAGATCTATTAATTAAGAAAAAAATGCACAATCGTTTGATTGTCTGTGACAAGCGTTCTCGTATGATTTTTACAATTTCCTAATAATAATGATCGTTAATCGTTTTACATCGATCCGGATTAATTATGTGCAAAAAGTAACGTGACTTTTCTTATTTCGTACTTGCGTATTTCGCAAATAAAATTTTAATGGCAATAATGTTAACTTTGTTATATCCTAGTTAATTATAATTCTAAAGAAAAAGAAAGTGAAAAAAGAGAGATAGATTGTGTTCATCTTATTACCAACGGAGCAAGCTGCATCTCGATGCAGATGTCGCTCCCAGACAGCGTCTGATAAAACTTATCAAGTAAAGGGTTGCGCACAATGAAAGGAATAGGGAACAGGGAATAGGGAACAGTTCAATATTAATATGTGAAATTCATTAACCTAATTTATTATTATTATTATATTTATTATTACTATATGTACCTAATTTATTAACACAGAATAGACAAACAGAGGAATAGCGCTAAGAACAATATGTTAATATTAAACTGTTCCCTATTCTCTGTTCCCTGTTCATTGTGCGCAGCCCCTAAGAGTTTGGATGCATTTAGATAATTTTTAATTAATTCGCTATCTATTTAAGGCCAACTGATAGAGAGACTTACGAAGAAATTTAGATTTTACACCATTTATTTTACAAATTTACTTATTATAAAGTAGCAATAATATTTATACGTATAAACTATTGAATTAAATTCATTTTTCATTCATAAACCGTAAAAATATTAAACTAACTTCAGCGCTTTTGAAACAAGCGCAGCATATTTATTTAACCTAAAAGGGGCGGATGGTGTTCAAACTTTTACTTGGGGAACTCTAGTTTCTGTATAGGTAAGATATTTTCTGTTGGTAACATAAAATAGGATGGAGTATATATATATACTTTTTAATCATTCACTTCGAACAAATACTGGCAAACCATCTTACATTAATAAAATAAATATCCAAGAAAATAGTTGAAGAATAATTAATAAAGAGTCATTTAAGACGGGATATGCTAGCACTTTACTAAGTGTTTGTTTATAGGTATTTCTCATTAAAATTTAACTTATTTTTTAGACACCATTAATTTACATCTTAATTTGATTTCCATTTCCATTGAAGAAATTCTTGAATTTTTTAAAAACGTTTTCCAAACGAATTTCTCATTTTGCAATAATTTAATAAATAAAAATATATGCGGTGTATCTCTTCGTACGCTTTCACAATCGCTAACGAGCAACTGATGATATCAATTAACAACGGTGACTTAAGGATTTAAATTCGCCACACGTGCAATCATGAAAAAAAAACAACACGTGCAACGAACGATCGTTCCTTATCAATAACAAACATTTAAGAAATGCAGTAATCTGATTCGCGATTCGCGCGAATTCATAGTTCAAGACTAACGTTATCAAGTTATCGCTATCATGTCACATTATCAAATCGAAATTTTATTCCAGTTCTCGAGAGAAAAACTGCCGAAAAAGACTCATCTCGCGCCTAGCAACGCGCTGGCGGATGAAAGGAGATCCAATGTTCCAATCAGTGGTTCCAATAGATCTGAACATAACCTCCTCGACATAAATTCCGCGCAACTAAAGAAACCAGGTACCCCGACGACGCCGAACGTCGGCTGCGGATCATCGGCGGTCGATCGTCGTCACGGTTGACACATGACACATGACACGCGCACGCGCTCGCGCGTGCACGGAGGAGGAGGCATTCGGGGCCGGCGAGCAGCACGCGATCGCCGGACGCGAGTGTGATTCGGGGGACTCACCGCTGTGCCCGGTGTTGCTCGACGATTGGCCCATCGTCGTCGTTGTCAGCCCGGCGGCAGCGACGGCGACGGCGACGGCGGCGGCGGCGGCGGCTGCGACGGCGGCAGACAATTGCGTCAGGTCGTAGGGCGGCGGTGCTCGGGGGCGGGCGCGGGTTCACGTGAAAAAGCGGTCGCATGGGCGCGCGTGAAACGGGCACATCTCTCGCGACGACGACGACGACGACGGCGCGACGGCAGTGGCGGCGGCGAATCGCTGTCAATCACGGTCACGATCAGTCACGATGCATGGTGCATCCGTTGGCATCCGCTACGCGGTGTCGCTACGCGGCGGCGTGGCGACGAGGCGACCGAGGCGGACGACCGACCGCACTCGCATCGCTGCGCCGCCGGCGGTCGCGCACGCCGCGCAAGGTGATTGGCCCGGCGACGGTGGCGCGCGTGCGCGCCGATTAGCGCGCCGTTTTGAACGCGGCGCGGCGCGGCGCGCGTGCGGCGTGCCGCAGGGCGCAGGGCCGAAATTGATTCCTCCTCGAGAGAGCGACGGTGATGCAGGTGCGCGCCGCGGCGGATGCTGGCCGCGTTTGTCCGCGGTGCCGCGGACATTCTTGCGCATCCTGACGCGAGGATGCTCGTGCCTTGTCCTTGGGATTTCATTATATAGCGATATTGTCGATTTTTTTATCGTGTATATTTCTATGTTTACAAAACCGCTAGATGAAAAAGTTTTAGTTTATACGCGCCGTATTGAACGTAAGATGTATAATTGACAATTTTGTAATACAGATAATTTTACGGCAATACCGGTATATTATGTACTGTTAATGCTGTTATTATATTATTGAATCACAATGGATATTGTATTTATGTATATTTTATTTTAAAAAAATTGGAAATATATAAAAATTTCAATTTATACCAATATTTGGCGTTTAATATCGGTTAATAATTTTCAGCCTTGTTATTGTATAAGAATAAATGTATACTATACAATTGTTAGTCAAATTATTTCAGTCTATCTTGAATTCACTTTTTTATAATATTCTTCCAATACTTTCAATCGAGTTAAACTTTTATGCACGCTACGACATTATTGGATTAAAAATTATTATGTATAAAGTAAATGATATTCTTGCACAATTCGAGTTTTTACAAGATTCGCATTAGAAGGTCAAGCATGCAATTAACATAATTACATTAACTCTAGTTAATCACGGATGCATTCTAATTCTAATTTTAATTCAAATTAGATTAAATTTTAATTGATTTGGAAATTATCTTGAATTATATATTTTATTCAGACAATTAAAAGACTATTTATCCAAATGTACACTTTTGACCCAAAAAAATATTTTTGACTTTGTTTTTTTCCAGTGCGCAATATCTGTATATGTATAATAGATACGTAATTTAGTTTTCTAAAGAATAGAGATTGAGTCTCTTCTTTAACAGAATAATCCTGTAATTATTCCAAAAAGCGTCTCTGTTCAGTCATGCTTAAATTAGCATCATTCTTACATATCATCATTTAATTTTAAGTTCAAGATCTTAAAAATTTCCTGCATTCTTCTCATATATTCTATTTTGCTATTGATCTCAGCCTTACCGAAAGAAATGGAAACATATGAAGTTACTTATGCGCTAGTTTCTCCTAGCATCTTAGGGACATCAGTTATAAAAGTTCATAGCACGTTGCAGACAAACTATGAAAGTATAACGGAATAAATGAGCGAGGAATCACACGAATCTATGCTCGTCGACATTACTTTTTTCACACTATCATCGTAAATCCTAAACTGCACCCACTATTCGCGTGTCGCACGTACGTGTCCCGGAGCGCAGTGGGACCATGCGAGGAGTGTTCAGGATGGCGTATAAAGACCAGGGTCGTGCCCGAGCTCGCCCTCGCCACGATCGCTGAACGATGACGGATAAGGACCTATTGATCCTCGCCGTCGGTGACGACGGCCGAGTGCTCGACTAGTCCATCGATCACCCTTAAATCTCCGGCGAGATCGAGGTCTATAAGACCGCGAGCCCGCGGATCGCCTTGGCAACCGACCGTCATAACACTGTATACTATACGTTAAGTTTAATGGTATTAATAGCGTCGACGGAGTTGTGAACGGGAGAGCCGTCCGGCCAGTCGCTCGGTGTTCCGTGGATCTACCCATTCTACCCTGCGACGAGGATCACGACGATGTTAAACGATCGGCCGGGAACGATTGGAGAACGTTCGCGACTGATGAGATGGTCGCCGGCGGGATCGCCCGGGATGTAGAAGCCCGAACGTCGACGAAAGTGTGCGATTCCACCGGGAAACGAAACGGGCTCTGGGTCGCCGAAGCATGAACGTAGGGAATCCCCGAATCGTTTGCCTCGCCCTCACCGTCCTCGCCTTCTTCCAAAGAGGTAGACGATCAGGCGCCGAGATGGTCACTGATCTTTCTCAAATATCGAGATCAGAGTGGGCTCTATTTGCGAATCTCGCGCGCGAGCAAGATCGATCCGATACCGGATTGCACACATCGCTTTTGAGGACAAGTCGTTAACGCAACTATGTGTATAGTTCGTGCGGTTTTACGTAAAAATAGCTCTCGCTTTGGTGCCGTTCACAAGCCTTGACATAAAAAAATTCTCTGTCGACATAAAAATCCTTAGCACTTATTTTTTCTATCGTTGGTAAATGAAATTTTGTATTTAGAACTAAACGAGTAAGCGAGATGTCCCAAACGCAAGAGATGTACGTCGGGCCGCCAAGTTTTATTTGTTGCATCGTCTCACACAATTATAGAGTATAACTTGTATATTGTATATGTCCCGCCAGGATGGGCCATCGATTGTTTCAAGTGCGTCTCGATCGACGGCGACAACAAACCCTGCGATGATCCATTTCATAACAATGGGAGCCTCGCTCTCTTGGAGTCGCCCTGCTTAGGGGGTCGGAAAGGCCGGGATGGCCTCTTTCCAGCGACCGCTTGTCTCAAGATTGCCGGCATATATGGTAGACTGAATTACGATGTATTATTTTTATTCATTTTTTTTTTCACATATCTCCGTTATGTCAAAATCGAGAGAATCCAGCGTTGACAAGTAATTAAACTATATTTTACTTAATTAACTCGATGGTTTAGATGAATCCGGTGCGAGTCTGATGGTGAGGGGCTGCGCTTTGGACAGCGGAACCCTAACAACGGACTCCGAGATTATCAGAATGTCCCACTGCGGTGGTTTCTACTTCGACGACAAGTAAGACAAATTGTAATACCGAAAGGAGTCGCAGAAAGAGAGACCGGGAATGAAAATTTATTATTCAGTGAAACAGGGCGCGCGCGCGCGCGCAAGATATAATATACAATCAATTAATATATGACAAAATCTGGATGAAATTTGGAATGTTGCAATTATGTCTCAATATTTGCAACAATACTTGTAGAAATATTTTGATCTTTTATAAAATATTGATAAATAAATATTTGAACAATTTATTACTAAATAATATTATTTCTAAAGAGTAGTAGCAAAACAGTAACATCAGACGAGTCATCTTATTGTTAGTGCAATTATTATGAAATTCCTCTCAACTGAATGAATTTTCCTATCGGAGAAAAATTGCCATTTAAAGTCCGAGCTGGATCTTGGTAAAAAAATAATAATACTTTTTTATAAAATTTATTATGAAACATTCACGAACATCTCGCAGGTACGTGCGCGGGTGTGTGCAGTCCTGCAGCGATGCGGATGCGTGCAACGCGTCGTCGAGGAATCTCACGCCGCTGATCGCCCTCGTGTTGCCGATTCTCGCGGGACTCGCGTGATCTATTTGGCGTTCCGCAACGCGCGAGGAGGCCGATCGAACGTCATTTTGAAAAATGGGACAATTTGGAAGAGACGGATGGCGGCATTGAACAGATCAAGTACAACGGCGAGCGTATAGTGGATATTAACAATCTTTGTTATTAAAGCTTATGATGTTTCAAGCAAACCCACATAGTCTGCAATATACTGCCAGATTACTTAATATATAATTTAAGCTCTAGTCTCATTATCGTCAAGCAACAATCCACGCGCCATTTACTTTTATTAATTTATCACTGGCTATCACTGTGCGATACGTTGATTATATAATTACAGCTTGTTATCAATAAAGCATATGTTGAAATTGTTAAACAGACCCTCTCTTCTTTATCCTTTTCCTTCACCTCGTAAGAATTATGCGGGCAATTTCAGACAGCGCAATAAGCTCCACTTTTTGTTTCGCTCAAATTTTAATGAACCTACTTCTCTCTTCTGTTATTTCGGACGATCGACTGTTTCAGTTTTTGATTAGTGAAATTTTTATTGCAAGGTATAAATTTTAACAGCAATGACCGACCATGAAAAGTCGAATGTCCAGCGTCTCCGATCAATTCGTAAATCTCTTGTGGCGATTCGCCTGTTGGCTCTGGGAGACCATCGAGCTCGTCCTAATCGTCATATTCGACTGCTTAGCGAGGCTAATTGAGCTAATACTCGTGATGATGAAATTAATATTTCAGGTGACGACCCGCTCGTACCAGTAATTACTTTTTCAATATATTGCGAATAAGGGGCCTGTAAACGTTAATGACATCATTACCGTGCCTTGCGTAAATATATAATGTACCATAGAAAAGTTCGTAACGATATCGTTAGCGTGTATAGAATAGGCTCTATCGATTCGAAACGAAGATAAAAGAATTTTTTTGTAACTAAAATCAGAGACACGTTTTCGTTTCGAGAGAAGCAAAAGGATCTTAATTAAAATTAAAAGTGCGTTTTCTGATTCGTTTCAAGTAATGAAAAATGTGTGCAATAAAAAGAATGGTATATATTTTTATATATAAGTAATGGATATATATTGTTCTCTCATCCTCCTTGGAAAACGGAGGAAAATTTCACGGACACAAACGCGAGCGAGTACTACAAGAAGTGACTGAATTTTTAGGTAATCTGCTTCATCAGGGATTTATGCATCGACGCGATGCAGACATTCGCTAATGTTTTCCGAGGGATCGTTAACGTCATTAGCAGTATCAGTTGCGACGACATCGAGGACTTCGCCTCCGCCTGCATTGTCGTTGTTTTGTGCACCGGGGCCATCAAGATGGTCATGGATCTTCTCAAGAGGGTATATACAGAGTATATCTCGCGATAATCGTTACTATCAACAATAGACGACAATTCGCACCCGGATAATCCGAAGGATTATTAAGAGTTGCTCGCGAATTAATAAACAACCGCGCTTATCAGCCTTGAACTCTAACAATAAGTACATAAAAAAATTGTTAGATTTGTATCTGAAATATTCAAATTTTAGAGTCCAAGTTTTAGAGAATAATCCCATACTCCATTTTATCATTCATTCGGGACCAAAACGGGACTCCTTGCACTTAAAAAAGAAAATAAATAAAAAAGAGATCTTTTTCAAGTTATATCTTGTTTATTAACAATTTAAAAAATTTTTTAATATGAAATATTGCGGATATGTCCCGTTCTGGCCAATATTATTTCCCATTGTCATTATTGAGCGACCGCCTGCAAATGTGGTACCCTGCTTTTTAGAACTGTCGAACAAGGCGAAGCATAGGTATTTTAAACCGTTCGTGCGCGTGTCACGCAAGAAATATCCCTGCCGTGTGACGTGGAAGGCTGCGGTGCAAAAACCAGGTAAACTACTTCGTAGACTACTCTTGCGACTGATATATCGATCGCGATTTAAAGATCCGCGCGTGGTAGCATGATCTGCATTATCTGGTTTTTGATCCGACAAAACGTCGCGTTAAACGTTTCTTTAACGCAGACGTTTAAACGGCTCCGTTAATTGTTTATGTTACGCGTAAAAGTGCAAAACTCACCCAACGGCGAAACTATTTCATCGTGACAGTCGTCGATTTGCATAGGAAGTAGTATCATCGTGTATGAAAAGTAGCGCTCCCACCGCGATTTCTCACTTTCACGTATTAAAATGACAGACTGCTCAAATTCGACGCGTTGACATGTGCAATTCAATGTCATGTCGAATTCAATGTCATATCGATACTTCAGAATCCCCACGCAAGGCTGCTCGACATGTTTGGGCAACGCGTGACGCAGAGCGATAATAACAACAATCCGACGGCAAGGAGCCACAGCCAGGATGCGTGTCTTCACGAGAGAAAGACGGGAAGAAGACTAAAGCGACGATATAACAGGCGATATCGATCAGCGTCACGAAAGAATAACTGATATAATTACGTAAGATTCCCTTTGTGAAGTACGAATATCTCTATATTTACATTAACTTTTATTATCTATAACAATATGTAAGGCGCATATCAAATTTCGTCGTAAAATAGCATATAATTTATATCGTACTATATACATAGTAAAGTATACATAAAAAATTCGCAACATTTTTTTATATATCGTTTTGTGCATTGAGATAACAATATTGTCGATTTAAACAATTTTACAAGTGTTGTAGAAATTTTTCATGTATAATATAAGCAGGCATCAATTTGTAAAAGAGAGACATTGGAACATTCGTGTATAGAAAAATATATTGTTTTTTTTTTCAAAATCTGGGAATGTGCGCAAATCTCTGCTTTCGCACATTGATGAATGGCTCAAGTGTCTTAAACGCGTAGGATAACATTTATAAATTATAAAACCTTACGTTAGGGAGTCATGGAAAAAGTCATAAATAAAAAGGTTCGATCTGTAACGAGGCTCGATAATACTTTCATTGTCCTATCTTTAACTTAAATCTATATGAAACGGCATGAAGAGTGATCTTCGTAGATTGCATCGATGGACAGTTTTAATCATTGATGATGGTGATGACTAAATTATGTTCCGGCCAAGAAAACGTCTTTGGCAATTGAATCTGTAATAAGATATATTAAGACATACATATAAAATATTCGGCAATCTCAGCACTTTTATTTTTTAGATCGATATCCTGAAAAAATTGGACGTAACTAAATTTACGCTATACACCATCGTTTTAATAATCTCAAAGCAATCTCGCGTATCATTACCTCTCTCTTGTCTGGCGCGTTTAAAAAAACTTGAAACTCTTCGGCCATCTTCTCAGACAGTTCTTCCGAGAGGAGCACTTGCAGCCACGGCCCTTGAACGACATACGGCTTCTCTTTGGACACGAAAGTGCCCGTAACCGATGGCGCGACTATCGTGACAGCCGAGTGGGACAGTATGGATTTGAACGTGAAATGCCTTCCGTGCATCACGCGGCCCCTGCAACATCAACATTGCATTATTCATTGGACGTCGCCACCGCGGTGTTGCCGCGTGAACATTGTTTTCATCATGACTAACTTTATCGCCAACGGCAATAACGAGCCAGCCTCAAGGTTGAACGTTAGGTGTAATCCGGACAGAGCTCTAATACTATTTTCGTCAGAGACGTTGGCATCCTGTTGCTCACACGGCGACAATCTCTCTGTCTTCACAATCGGCTTCACGTCTTCGTCATCGTCGGAATCGTCCCTTTTCTCCCTGTATCTTTCCGCGCTCCTGTCGTTTGTTATTTGCACCCACCTGCATCCAGATACATAAAATAATAGTCTTAAACAACTCAAATCCAATTGACATTCAATCTGTTTTCCGATACTATCGATCAGTTGTCATCGCTTACCAACATTTGGCGGACACGCCACTCGTGTTCGACCCGTCCCTTTCGATGCCGCACTGTATCTTCTCCGCTATGGAGGGATCATCTTCCATGGCGGAATGCATTCTTCTCATGTCCGTAACCAACCATGGGCCACAGCCCCTGGCGCTTCTCAGCAAATTAACCACACCCAAGCCGTTCCAATGTTGAGCCGCCTGCAATTCCTCAGAAGTAACGCCGACGATTTGAACAAACGAGACCTATTTTTAACAATAAAGAAACATAATAATGACTCATCTTCGAACATTTGAAGCATCATATCCATTTAATTCGCGATTTAAAGCTAAATGCAATTACTAAGTTACACATTTTATTTATTTGATGTAAAAATTTTAAGGAATTCAAAAATGAAACCATCATATTTTATGGCAAATACGGGCTTTTTGCACATACGTCGCCGTGGGGCGTCGAGATCGACGTCGGAAGCTGCGGGTCCTGTGACATCAAAATCTGAGTGATACAACCGTTTCCGCCGTCCAGTGGAGCGTGCCAAGAGACGTGGTCGCCCGGCATCAGCGTGTTCCCGGAATTGAAAACATATTTGGCCAATTGCTGCATCACGTTTGCCGGCCACGTGGGCGGCGTCGTCTCGCCCCTTTCACGAGCGAGACGGAAGGTCAACTCGAATCCGAATCCGCTGGGACGGCCTGGACCAGGTTTGGGATGTAATCTGCCGTCGCCGTGTAAATCGGACAGTCCTAAACTACATTTAAACAAACGGGCTAAAGCTAACGTAAAATAAATATCTCTTTGTATGTCACAATTTTTCTCGTACCTTTCTTTTTAAAGATAACTTCTCTACTACAGGAAGGGATAAAAATCACTTGGGGAAACGTTAAAAAGTTATTGCGTACAAGAGAATAAGAGATTCTCAACGATATCTCGCAAAAAAGTACGTAGACTTTTCGTCAATGACGAAAGTATAATTAGCCGGCGCAGACGAAAAAGGGGAAGTCCGGCGCTTCTATTTCCGACTCCCCGCGCTTTAAACGACTTTGTTTCTCCTGCACCCTACGCGCTCTCTATATATAAAGAAGACGAAGACCGCGGAGTAGTATTAGGACAGCTGTCTGAAATTGAAGACGCGAAGGGTCGCCAGCGCGAAAGAAAAAAAGGGGGGAAAGAGCCCGCACCCTTTGGCGGAAGATCATTCGTCATTCCGCACACAGATTCCAATGAAACGTAGTAATGAAACGGTAGCGCCGACATATCGCGCATCTGCTATAGTTCGTATTCCACTTAAACTTAACAAACGCGCGCGAGTCTTGACTTATATCCCATATTTAATGCAAGCACGTCTCTCAAATAATACATTTAAATTCATTTGCCGCGTACTTATTCTTTCAAGCTCACACATATTCACACATTCGCATATTACTCATTTTACTGTTCCGTCATGCATATGTAGATATTTTTATTTTTACTATTTGTGTTCTTTTTCTTTATTTTCTTATTTTTTAATAATTTCTTTTATCATTTCTTATTAATTTCTCTTTATCTTATTTCGTATTGATTTGGTTTCTATTTTTGTAACAAGTTTTGATACATTACTATATACATATATTATATTTGATATATTACAAATGTAACTAATCAATATATTTTAGTTTTAACGCTTGACAGAACACTGTCGGGCGCTCAATAAATAGCGATATCTATCTAAATCAACATGTGTGAAAATGAAAAATATATAAATATCTTTTATATATTTATTATTTAGTTACTCGTTTCCTGAGGTTTGAATAAAATTGGAGCAACAAATTGCTCGCTCCAAATCTTTAGGTTCAAAATGAGTCTCTGGTAATCTGAGATACCCTGCATAGAGCTTACACGTAGCACTTAATGTCAACATTCTTACCTGATGTAATGCCAGTGTGGAGGTACACCGAGCTCAGGATACCCCGAATTGGCGTACATGCTGATGTAGTCGAGGGGATCAGGTCCTCCTAACCTAAAGGGAAAACTCGAGTCAGCTGACAGGATATCCGGTTTCGCGTGTGTAAAAGGGGAAGCTAAATATAGTCATCGTAATCGCCTTTTCTCGCGAGGGTGGAATAGAAAAACCGAGTTCCTGCCGATGCCTCTCAAATAAACGTATTTCGTACGGTTCATGACTTCAGTACATGGGCTTGATAAAATTGATACTATAATTCGTAAAAAATCTGCAAGCATTCCACCATCTCCACGTGATAATCAGAAAACAATAACAGAGAGAATCGATATGTTAATTTGATCGAACAAGATTAATTAATTAAATACGATTAATAAAATAATCGCTAGAGCGTCAAAAGACGTACGCACAAAATTGATTCTAATCGACTGACCAGCGGGACTAAGCCAAGTATCCAAGCCACCTGTGACCCTCGGTAAAATAAACGGTCTCTCGACATTCCTCGGCGAGAACGGTCGTTGCTGTGGTCGGGTTCTTACCAGTATTTTATGACCGCCGTAACCGTCAGAGGATTACTCTGGTCCGGGTAGATCTGCTTGCAGAGGCTGTGCAGAGCGTCCAAGCCTGGGGCCCGTGGCGACGGCGGTGGCGGCGGCGGCAGCGAGACCTGGGCTGGCTGGCCCGGTAGGAAACACCTCGAGAACTCCTCGCGCTCGCGCATGTTCGCGCCGTACATAAAACTCCGGTGGCGCACGCCGAATATACGCGCCTTTGTTTACCCACAACTTTGTCACCGCACGCAACGCGACGCAGTCGCACGCTCGGAGCTGCTCGGAACGGCACCAGCGGTAACAGCACTGACAAACAAAAGCGTGAACGTCTCTCCGGCGCGTGCAACGTAGACGAGAGATCGGCAGGCGAATGGGATCTCGAGAGCGATGCGTGCGCAGCACTCCCTACAGACGTCAAAAGTTACTAAAAGCTGGCCGCTGGATATCCACCGCATCTGGAGCAATTAAATTCCAATTAATTCCAAATAATTAATCGGCGATTAATTTTTTATCAAGTAATTTATCAAGTAATACTATTTTGTTAACATGGAATAATAAACTTTTTTGTTGCTTACATGGAAAGATCGAAATATTAGATTAAGGACGAATTAATTTTGCAAATTTATTTCGTCGATATCTACAAACTGATCAATAGATTTGACACGCAAACTAGATTTGGCAGATGTACCTGTATTAAATAGGGGACATAATTTACAACGACATATAGCATCCTTAAGACTATTTTTTTCTATTTTTACGATTCTTCTATGTATCAAACACGTTCGTTAAATAGGTTTACAGTTTCACAAAATGCAACATTTTGTCTTGGTGCACATACCTGCAATTCCAGCAAATTTCACGGATTGTCCTCGAAGTAATTTTTGAACCTCTCACAGTTTTTGTGTATAATCTAAACATATAACCTCGACATTTATTAAACGGCTTTACTGGGGATGACGCGTGACTCCGAGGCTGCGCGAGTGATTAGAAACTCAAAGGTCCGTGTGGTTCAATTCCGACCTGGCCTTCCTTCCACGTATACCTTGTTTAAGAGATAACAGTTAAGGATTAAAGATCCATATGGATTAATAATCCGTTTAAGGGCCGGTTGTTCCAACCTCTTGGTAAACTACCTAATAATTAAATCATATATATGTCTTTGTTTATCCTTTACATTGGACAAAGATAGACATATGATTTAACTATTAGTTAGCTTACCAACGTTGGAACAACCGGCCCCAAGAGTTTAAAAGTTATTGTATAGCGCAATTAAGTGATGGACGGTAAAAAAGGTTGTTGAAATTATATATATTGGGCTTAGAGTTGTTTGTGTCAAATTACCTTTGAGTAGAAGACACTTTAACCTCCCTCAACCGAGGGAATTGGAAAAAACCCATCAAACGGCTTTACCTTCAATAGTCGATCGTCCAACCTCAGCTCATAAAAACTTTTCGATTTCATCCCACTTTTGCTCTCTAATTCCACCTCATTTATAAAGAAACGTCTGTTAAATGGACCATATGCACTTTAAATATCTCGATTATCACTCATGCAAGCACGTGGGAATCGTGGAGCAAAACAAACATTGTGCCGCCATCTTGTGGAATTCTCGACACACGTGCACGTGCACCCGTTGCACCGCCGACCACGTGACGCCTTGACAGATTCGAGCTTTTAAATTAAACTTATGACGTTTCTTCTGACGTTCATAAGACGTTTCTCATATTTCTAAAAAATAATAATTAAAAATTAGAATAATTTAAGCCTAAAAAGACATTAATAATGTGAAAAAAGCGTCAAGTATATTTTTTATTTTAATATAGATATAAAATGTTTTTTTATTTAACGAATTTTGTCTTATTGTATGTATATATGCGTACACGCGTAAATAAAGTTGTAAAATATGAACACAATTTTTTTCTGCAGCTTGTTCTGCTTTTATCAAATATAATTGTTATTATTAGAAATATGTATCTTCGGCGACACTATATAATAAAAGCTGAAGCGTTCCATAATATATTTTGTTTTTTAATTTTTGGTTTTTTATACTATTTTACAGTAAATTATTTCAGGGAGCATAGGGGCTCTGAAGAGGCTAGAGATTATTTCGTCGGAGTTTCAGAACAGAAAAAGCCTGATGTGCGGATATAGCGTGTTATATGTACCTGTTGAAAATATTTGTGGACATATTGGCTACGTAGTTCAATGTCCACATTTTGTGCACGCAGAAGCGCCGCGCCGTGAACGGGCATCCACTTAAAATGCGAGCATGTCCGCACTCTAGAACTTCTCTCTCTCTTTTTATATTCCACTACGCATGAGTGGAAAAATTCCATTTGTTTGGATCTGGATGGAATAAAAAAAAGATCTGTTCTTTATAACGTACTGCGCCAATTGAAATAGTTATATAATTAGACACAATAGAGAGAAAAAGATAAAAGATGGAACGAATATAGAAGTTCAGCTATAGACGAAGGAACGACTTGCACATGTATTCTATACACATATATGTCTCGATTAATTATAGCTTATTAGCACATTAACAGAAAAAATAAATTGCGCTAAAAGGAAGATATTTTCTTTTCTTTATCAAGGATTATGTTACATAAAACTGTAAAAATAAAATGAAAATAATTTTCATAAATAAATAAACCTAATATATTCTAATTATCTCTAATACCTTTTTTATTCAACACCTTTTATCTTCCTTTTTTTTTTTTTAATTAAATCCGAATATATGTTATCTTTTCTAAGTACGTCGTATTACAATTAACTGCCGTTTTTTTGCAATGCGTGATTTTTCGCAATCTTTATTTGAGTTATATAGATAATATAAATCACGATAAAACGGCGATAAAACAATTGTGGTAAGTAGGCCATAAAAACAATAACTTGATAGGTGATTGTAGGTGACAAATATTCGATCGGGACGACCAAAAACATCGACATCATCGGTTCTCGCAGTTACCCTCCCCGATGGTCCATATTCAAGTTCTGGTTGCTAATCGCGTCATCAGTTCCACGACCTTTCTAGAAGCTTCCCAGATGTGCCACTGAGCTTCTCGAGACCGGCGCTACTGTACTGCTATTTTCCCAGTTTGCGAATCGGAATAAACACCAGGTGGTGTCCCGTGTCCCGAAAGGAACGAGTATCCGGAGTCCGGAGTACATACATACCTATCTCAGGCTATCTCCGTAGAAGCGGGCGAAGGAAGGAAAGGAGAAGGGAGGAGGTGGAGTGGAGGAGGGAGCAGCAAACGTGGACGGCGTCGAGGGGATCGTTTCCGCGTGCCACCCACGGTGCTCGCTTCGGGGTACAGGCGTCCGCGGTGTTCGCATATGCCAGTTCGCAGCAGCAGTAGCAGCAGCTTCGGCGGCCGGCAGAGCGTGAGGCAGCGGATCTCTGTGCGCGCAAGCGTGACACGGGATTTACAGCATGGCGGAGCGCAGGAAAAGCAGGAAGCGCAAAGATGTAAGCGTTGACGCATATGGGCGAGAATCGACGGCGTGTCGCGCGCGCGGGACGTGGCACGCGAACGCGCTCCGGCGATCAGGCCGGACTCGGTGAAGCGCGCGACTCGCGTCTCGCGTCGTCGTGCGCCGCGATCACCGATCACCCGCGCGTTCCGGGTCGATTCGCGAAACGTGTCAGCGCTGACGTGCGTCGCAGCGCCGAGTGCGTGTGACGTAGACAGACCACGAGATGCTTCCTACGATCCTCCCGGAACGGGAGGGATTCTGGGGAACGCGTTTTCTCGCGTTCCCCCCTCGTGTCAGTCGAATTCGCGTGCTCCCTCGCGTCCTTCCCCGCTTTCCCGTTTCCCTCGGGATGAACTGTCTAACGGACGTCATTGTTTCTTTAACAGGAAGTAGCCGGTTTGGATACTAAGGTCGCCCAGGACAAACCGTCCAAGAAGGAGTACGCGGTAGCCAAGTGGATCCGCAACAATGTACCGTCGAAGAAGACCAAGTTCGATAGGACCCACATCGTCGAATACTTCACTGGATCGCGCGCGATTGACGCTCTACTGGAAAACTCACCATGGAGCACGGTGTTCGAGAACCGCGAGCAGGTCTCCCAGTTCTTGGACCTGATGCTCAGGCACAAGTTCTTTCACCGGGCCAAGAAGGTGGTGATTTCGGAGGAGGAACTTAACAAAATGCGGGGCATTAAGAAGAAGACTAAGGATACGAAAGAGGACAAGAAAGCCACGGATAAAGAGGACACTAAGGAGAGCAAAGACACGGGAGTGGTGAAGGAGGAGAAAGGCGAAGAGAAAAGCGACGAACGGAAGGAGCACAAGAAAAAGCCAAAAGTAAGGGTAAAAGATCATTCGCATGCCGCTGAAACTCCTTTTCTTTATCTCGTTTTTTAATGAGAAATACGTGTTCTTCCAGGTAAGACTAGAAATGCACATGGAACAGTACTTTGTGGATTGTAACGATGCGTACGTGTGGATATACGAACCGATTCCTGTGTATTACTGGTTCTTCGGCACGCTCGTAGTCTTAGGCGCGATAGGAGTCTGTCTCTTCCCGCTGTGGCCCTTAACCATTCGTCATGGAGTTTACTATCTAAGCGTCGCGGCTGCGGGATTTCTCGTATTTATATTAGCACTGGCTATTATTAGAATGATCGTGTTCTGTCTTCTGTGGGTACCCACGTTGGGTAGATGTCATTTATGGCTGCTGCCTAATCTGACAGCAGATGTTGGCTTCTTCGCGTCCTTCTGGCCATTATATCAAGTTAGTAGTTTATTTTATTCATTTCCATTCATTCATTGGTCACACAGTGACGGACATTAAAAATTTAATTGATTCAAAAATTTCCTTACAGTATGAATATTATGGTCCCACGTCGGACGGCGACAAGAAAGCGAACAAAAAGAAAAGAAGGAAAGAAAAGGATTCTGACTCCGAGGATGCGCCACTACTTCAGTCAGTTTTGTGATTCATACTTGATTAGGCACCTTAATAAAATATAATACGAATCTCTGATTCGACATATTTTTATGTCCTCAGAGAAGAGAAACCTGTAGCGACGGAGGCATCTAACGAAGAGTTATCTTTGCCTAGCGAAGAGAGGAAAACTTCGTCCGATTCAGCCGAAGGAGAGGATGGCAGTGAGGAAGGCTCGGAGAGCGAGAAGTCTAATACGAGTCGAGATTTTGTTATGCTTTAAAACGTGCGCGCGCGCGTGAGAACCAGGCAGTAGATAGCTTCATGTTTGCTGGGACAAACAGCTATATTAATTGTCACATTAATCATCACTGAAATCGATATACATATGCTTGCGGTGCGTTAATCCGAGCGTCGAATTCGACGCACGAATCTAGCAAACCGATCGTAGCGAATTCTCCACATCTATTGCATTTAAGGGTACGCGCGTTCATGAACGAGTGGGAAAATCGCTTTGTGACTTTTTTGCATGGAGAGAATTTTCCGTAACTGGCGTGAATGTAAAGTATTGTCTCTAAAAAGCGTAAGCGTGATATAAGGCATATTTTATTCTATACATACATAGATATCTATACAAACATATATGTGTAATATGAGGAAATCGTATTAGACGTAATTTCGTTATCAGTTTCCGTTGAATAAATTGTGGGTACTGTTCGAAGTCTTCAAATCTCTCAATGCGATCAATGTCTACCGACAATGTAGTTAATTAATAAATACGCACCGAGTTCTCTCCGTTAGATGTTAAATCTTTGAATCTAGAGAGGACTGATTTATAGCTGGAAGAGAAGGAATCTTTACGGGTACAGAACTTGACGTTTTCTTCGTTGTTCGGCGATTTAGCGCGAGTTCCTTTTTTTATTTAGAAGAAATTAGGCCCGATTTTACAGATGAATATATATTCCGGGTTTAATACAAATAATTTATATTTTTATGCGAAATTTCCAATGATAATTATTGTTATTACTATATTATTATTATATTATTACTTTTACGATTGTCATTATATCAGGATCTGTAGGTCTTGTGGATCCGCGCTCGTGGATTTATCTATATGGAAATAAAGATAAAATAAAGCGTTATATATCTATTTTAAGTGGTCATTGCTTTTGACCTGCTAGTTCCATGTTAGATTACGGTCGATTGGCCTTGAGTGTCATCTTGCGCAGCATCGCGTTGCACATGGCCGCATAAGGATTCAGAGCGACCAGTTGCGATTTAGCGAAGCTCGAGCCAGCCTTGGCCGCACGAATGAAGTCTTCCTTGGCCTTGTCGTCCTGCTCCATCCAACGGTAAAGGGCACCTCGTTGACAGAGTGCCTGAATGCCAGCTCTTCCTTTTCCTTCGCTCAACTCCACCGCCAGATGCAGATCCTTCAACGCTTCTAAATAATTTGCACGATAATCGAAATTGCAGTTCTCTCCTGTGAAATTTATATAGAAACTCTTTTATTCGTAATTGACGTAACTAAAATTACCTTCATCTCGATTCGCCAGACGTAACGCTTGCGCTCTATCATTTAAGATCGACGGCGATTCAGGTGCCTGTTTTAACGCCTTGTGGAAAAGCCGAAAGGATTCGTCGAAGTTCTTCTCTTCCGCGCAGACTATTGCCTTCTTCACGATGTCGAGTACATTCGGTTCTAAACGATCCTCCTCAAAGGCATCCGTCGTCTCTTCTTAACAAAATATTAAAAGAAATATATATGTTATATATATAATCACGCATAGCTTTTATATACAGAAAGTTTTATCTTATAATTGCGCATCCCAAATTTCAATTTTGTTTCCCATTCCAAAAGAAAATATTTTAAATAAAAATTTCACAGTTTTAGGAAAAAATATAATGCATATTCTAGTTTTTTATACGTGTTTTAGTAATGCTATCAATATTTTATTTTAAATGAAATTGATGTGATTTTTCTTATACAATATATATATAACACGAAAATTAAATTTAAAAAATTAATGATTTACAAAATATATTTGATACTCTACCCTGATATAAAATACGAAACATTGGCTTGTGTAACATGTATTTGTTTGATTTTTCAAGCAAAATTCAAAATTCAAATATGTATCAAAATAATAAATTTTTATTTAGATATTTTTTAATAACTTTTGACAATCTTTTACATAATTTTATGATTTCATTCTCCAAATTTCCTAAATTTTTAAGCGAGAAAGTGCTCATGACAGATTTTGCAGTTTTCCCAAGAAACGGAGTTCTTGTTAAAGGAATTTTACAGAGATCGGAGTAAGTAGTAATCTGAAGATGCAAGGTCAGATGAATATGGCGAATGGGATATAGAACATTTCAAACAACAATTTTTTCCAGAGCAACATGCGGTCTGGCACTGTCCTTGTGGAACACAACGCCCTTCTGTTGACCAATTCTGAACGTTCCTCGTCGATTGATGCCTATAGTTTGGTCCATTTATTCGAATTAATCGTTTGATTCCGATGGCAGGAGCTCATATATAGTATAGTTGTATGATAATTTCCATAATACACAATATCTTCGACTGTATCATATAAACCCGGCCACCTTTTGCATCCCATCAAACACATAGCATGACTTTCTTCGGAGGATCGCTTTGCTTGTTTCAGGATCTTTTCTGCTCAATGTTGTTGCAAATAATCCATTTTTCATCGTCTGAAAAAATGGATCGGTTTCGTTGCGCTTTAGCAGCAAATGGAGATGCGGTTAGCATCTTTTCACGTTTGTGGTTTGCTTTTTTTTGTTGCGTTTGCTCTGCGTTCTTATTTTTGCGACAATAGAAAGGCTGTCCGTGATGCACCTTTTTTCCCCCACTATCTTCAAAATTACGCGCAACAAGCACAATATCAAATTTGATCAAATTCTTTTCAAAAGGTGAGGCGTGATTCAGAATAGTACAGTCTAAAGTGACAGTACTTTTATGAGAAGAGAATTGAAAGTTTACAGAAGAGATAGCAAACTGTCATTGATAATAGAGAATATGTACTTAACAAAATAAAAACGTTGCTTAAAAATTCATTTGTTTCTTGTATTAAAATAATTGATTACTTATAATTAAGTACTCTATAATTATTTGTATATGTATCTTAGTTTAATTTGAATATGATACAGAGTTTACAGAAATTGAGTGGCAGCGTTAAAACTTTCCATATAATTTTATTCAAGGCTCGACAGAGCGCAGCCTTGAGAATTGATACAACAACAAGAAACTTATCTCTGTTATTGCATCGCGCAGTTCCTTGCATATTCATGACAATCTGAATGTCTCGCGTGAGAATGACTCGCGCCGGAATACATTTTGCGCCAGACGAATGCGGTTACCCACGGGCTTTAAGCGCTCGCGGATTTTTCGAGTGATCTGTGAGAAGCCTGCGGTTTGAATCGTGTCCAACTAGTGCAACAAGTGTCTCGACTACACCGTCATTAAGATTGAATGGCAATCTCGGCTTTAAATCGCGCGCAGCGGAGTTACACGCAGAATTACAAAGGATCCACCATCCATGGTTATTATCTTCAGCTTTAAATCGTTACACTTAAAGGTTTAAAGAAGTTCTGATACGTATCTTTAGATCGGTTATGAATATACGAATGAATAATATTGACAATAATAATAAGTGAATCAGGACTGTTATGATGTATAATCAATTAGAGAGAAAAATATCATTTTTACAATTCGGACTGGATCTTGGTAGCCTAACAATTATTGTATACTTTTTCCAAACTCAGTAAACTGTGCGCCGTTTTTTTGCCGGTCTTTAAAATATAGCTTATTTCTATTAGAACAGTAAATCATACATACTAATATCGATAATCGATTTAAATTTTGATGTTAATAAGCATTCTTATTAAATCACTGTAAAGAATTTATTGCAAAAAATAATATTAAATTTATTATTATCTATTAATACTGTTAGTGTAAGGAGAAAAAGCGTTATTTTAAACGTTTTAGATAATATAGTATTAGATTTTAATAATTGATAGATAACGGAGCACGGATTTTAATAACTGCTAATTATGCTGTCACCACCCACGTACCAACTTCCTGGAAAGCCGGAAAGTCTGGAATATCAGACGGACCGAGCGGCTGAAACGGATCGAAGATCGTCTTCAGAACGGCTCTGTCACCTTCGCTCAGGCTCTCCATGATGTCGACTGAATTCTTCCGTAAATCTCAACGTTTCCATTCGACGGGGACTCGTTTCTGTTTATCGTACCCGTCGTGAGCTAATCGCGTGTGTTGCGTAATAGATTAATAGATCTGGAATGTCGCCCAACTGGTGTGTCGTTTGGATTACGACCGGCGGGAGTTCTATTTTACACACGGATACAACTCGAGATCATAGATTTTCCGCTATTCAGCCGCTTGGTCGATTACACAAGGATCGAGCAGCGCGAGAACGAATATCAATTCCAATTGATTCCGGCAAGAAGCCGGCATTCTTAAACGTCACTGAACCCTCGCGCTGAGTTTTCAAAAATACCACTCGCCATGCGGTTAACGACCGCGTCGCCGAAGAGAGAAAAATTCCGGTCAACTCCTAATCATGATTAATTCATTTAAATTAACATTTGACTTTTAATTAAAACTTATCTCGGCGCCGAGATAAGTTATCCGGCGCGTTTCCGCGCGACTCGTTACGCCATACAAAAATCGTGAGCGGAAACTCGCGGGTGTCATTAATTTCGGGAGTCGCTCATAAATTCCGCCTCGCGAGCAAGGCAGATATCCGGGAAACGCCAGGTGGACGTTCAATCGCTATATTTCCCGCGGATCGTCTCGTAACAGTAAACGCGCGATTTGACGCGCGGCGAGGCGGATTATGCCTCTCGCACGCGATTCGACCGGGACGGGCGTAACCGCGCGCGCGCGAGAGGCGGCCAAGAGAACCGCTCGCGGAGCCGGTTTTCGACGAAAATCGACTACGGGACTCCGCGGACACCAACGCGCGTCCCGTTTCCTCGTCATCAACCGCTCGCTCGAAGCGCGTGATTTTTCGCGATTCCTTGCGCGTCGCCGCGCGATTGCCGCGCGACTCCGCCGTTACCGTTACCTCTAGGTAAAAGAGGACTGTTAAACGATCTCGTCGTCCGCGCGCGCTTTCCCACGGGTAGAGCGGACCACGAGAAAGCGGGAAGACGCCGAGGGTTTTCCCGGAAGCCAAAACGTAGCCGGCGAAATGACCCGATCTTTTCGTTTCTCGCAAGGTCGATCCTAGAGGGATGTTTTGGTGTTAAAACATCCTCATCCCTTCCAAATAAAAAAAAATCAGTTTTGCTAGATTTGCTTCAAAAATCTAGGAAAAAATGCATTAAAGCAGGATTAGAAGTTTTAGATCTTGTCGTTGATTCTGATGGGATAAAGCGTGATACTAATTGTAAGAAACGTATCGAACCAAATAATTTTGCCAAAGCACCCCATTATCAACAATATCTGCGTCAGAATCTACTAGTACGACTGGTCCACTTAATACTACAAATGCTTCAAAGCATTCCTCTTCTCCTTTCTTTCAGTGAAGAAAGAAGGAGAAGAAGAACGCTTCAAAGCATTTGTAGCACCAAATGGACTGCAACCAATAGACTACATGGTTCAGAGTTCAGATCGTGTAATTGTCAACGATCTCTTTTAAGTCTTGAGCTTATTGTTAGTCAAATCTTGCTAACCTCTGGCCGTGAGCCACGCTATACAGAAAAAAGTGTAAAATTTAAACTTATATACTCGTATATACGTAATAATATACAGGATGTTCCCGGGTTAAACGGCGCGTCAAACTTGAAATATGAATTTACGGTCTTAAGGTGATCCTAAAGCCGTGATCCTAGCCGGTTTTTTCCAGTTTTTTTCTTAGCACTAATCTTTTAATTGGCTTTATAGAAATGCAAAATTCTTGTCTAGAATTAAAGTACGCATCAAAATCTAGGTCATGGTGGTCGAATTTATATGTGGTGGTCGTCACGTATAACCAAAAATATTAATTTCTTTTCGTTTTCGATATAAATTCGATATAAATTCGACCACCATGACCTAGATTTTGATGCGTACTTTAATTCTAGACAAGAATTTTGCATTTCTATAAAGCCAATTAAAAGATTAGTGCTAAGAAAAAAACCGGCTAGGATCACGGCTTTAGGATCACCTTAAAACAAAAATTTTCCTCTGGAAATAAGTATATAGTATAAGTCTTGATTTGACAGTAATTTTTTTCTGTGTACCGTTAGTGCGACATTCTTTTTTTCTCTAGGGACTTATTATTTGTAATTTCTTTTTTTTTTGCATCTTGTTGCAAATTAGTTCAATTGCATTCTGACTTCTGACACCTGCAGTTCGATTCGCGTCAGCTTCTTTCATCATTGTGTCTTTGTGTCTGGTAATTTATGAGAAGAGAGATTTTAGAATGAACAATAGTAAAGCGCGTGACGTGGGGGAGCATCGCATCGTGGCGAACGCACCTCGGTAGAAATCGGCGCAATAATCGGGCAGGCAAGCCTCTCTTGCGGCTCCTTCGGGACGGGATCGCGATAACTCGACTCGCCGCCGGAACAGGCGAGAACCGCGAAAGCGCGCAGCCACGCGGTTCAGCGCATTACAATACGGACTGTGCACGTTTCGTAATGGAATAAATATTTCATTTCGCGCGGCGCGGCCGTACGGGCCCCGTCCCCCGCGCGTTTTTCCTTCGGGGGAACGCGGTGGCGATGCCAGCTCGCTACGCGCGCGCGCGCGGGGCGCGGGGCCGAAGGGCCCCGGGTCCCGTCCCGTCACGACGGCGGACTTAACGGCCCATAATTCATCGCCGACGTATAATAAATATCGTTAGCCCGTCTCGAGCGCGCGTAGACACGCGGGCAGCGAGCTCACCCGTGCGGGCCCCCCTTTTCCCCCCCTTTCTTTCTTCCTATCCTCTCCGCCGCCCCGGAGATTTTATTATATATGTATGGAAGGGCCCGTACCGCGTCAAATGTGCCATCGAATCATCCTACGGAATCGATACACGTCGAGGACTCGTGAAGGGCCGATCCAGCCTTCCCGGTCGAGCTTGAGAAAACCCTCGGCTTTCTCGATCCTCACTTTTGAATTATGAGGTTCGTCCGACAGTCACGGATCTCCGGGTCCGCTGGAAAAGCCAAGGACGAGAGAGTACACATCGCTATTAATGCGGATTGGGAACAGCGCACGTTTAATTACAAACGCCCCTCGTGGTCAGCGCAGTTTCATTTTTCGACCGACGGACGACGTCGGATTTATGGAGCATCGCGCTATATGCATTTATGCGCGATATTTATGGTTATAAGAAGACGGCCCTTTCGTGCGCGCAGTACACGCCTTCCTCTCGTCGACTTCCTCGGACGGCTCCTCCGCGCGCGGCGGTGGAGCTTTCGGCCTTGGCCGGTTAGGTTTAATAAAAGTTTCTTGAATAATGCGCGCCGCGCTCTCCGTGCATCGACGCCGCACATAAAACGCGGCTAAAACCAATATTGCAATACATCACTGCCTAATTAATATTTAGCAATAAAGCGTGAGGTACAATTTAGATACAAATTAATGTTTAGCACGTGTATGAATAAATTCAAGAATTTACCTATTCAGTATACGCGCTCTGTATCCAATCAGCATAATGCTGTAAATAATGCTTGAGATCCTTGCTGAGTAAGTTATTAAACTATTATGTGCACACAAAAAAGTAAGCGAGGTCGGAATTCAAAATCATTCTTTTGATTTTAAGTTTTAACAAATAACAAAAAGAACGTATAGAAGAATGAAGCTATAAGTATCGTGTTCAAAGCGGTAATAAGACAAGAGTAGTAGAAAATGATTTCTAGCATCTCCTCTGCAATGCTGAGAGCTCCGTGACAATAATTTTGAAATTTGTTATTTTACATTCTTAGATTTATTCGCATGTATTGTATTAGACATTAATTTGTCTCTAAATACTCGTATATATGTTTTAATGTAATCTGCACTTTTCACTTACCTATATTAATAGTAATTATATTCAACAATTAATATATCGCATGTTAGTTTATAGCACCATAGTTTTTTCTTTCTTTACTTTTATATACGATGAATGTAAAGTCATCCGGTTATGTTGCTTTATTTTTGACGAAAATGTATGTACGAACTGCGCTTTGTGTTGAGAGATATACATTGCAGTCAAAATTAATACAGCAAAATTATAATAATCATTCTTATTTTAAACTCTTAAATAATGCATTGCTCTTTTAGGTTCCTTCGTCTTTCTTCCTCGATCTACATACTTGACAATATCAATTAACAGTCACGAAGTGGATACAAGACTGGACAGATTGGACAGTCTTGACTTGAGTTCCGGCGAAGGTGAATATTTTTCTCAACTCCTTACGCGTAATGCGTTCCACTCGTACATTTTTATCCGCTCTGCATACCGGGTTGATCTCGGCGAAAAAATTTCGCCTAAGGGCAACCCGACCGCGAATAACCGTTTCGGAATTTTACGAGATCGTTACGCGGCGCAGCTGCATCCTGCCGCGGACCGTGGATCCGACGTCGTCCGCTACGATCTTCCTCATCCTCGTCAGCGAGCAAGCGCAGCCGATGGAATTTCAAATGAGGATGTGGTCGCGCGTGCAAAATTGTCCGAATGAATTTTCGTCGGGACGTGTTCGCGCTCGGATGATCGGTCCGAGAGGACCGCCCGAGTTGTGGACATCACGCGAGAGCATTTTAAAACCGTCGCCGAACAGAGAGGCGGAGGAAAAAGAGAGAAGTAGAAAAGGAGGCGACGCGAGGAGGACCCGCCGAATAAGACCGCCAAAAAGCCCTGAATCCAGCCGACCATCGCGGTCGACTTGCGGTTACCGCGGATACGCAACAGAAAAAAGGAGGCTCTCCTTTTTATTTCCCTCTCTCCCTTTCTCTCTGTCTTGTTCTCTCTTCGCCCATTCGTTCCTCTCCGTCCTTACAGCGTTTTATCGTTCCCTTCCGATCCCTGCGAGAGGATCCTTTACAGTAAGCGAGGGAGAGTACGCGTAGACAGTCGGATTTATATTCAAATGAATCGCGATGGAAGCCACGATTTATTGACGCCCCATCAAACCCCGTAGCGCACATGCGGGTTGCGCAGGTCGAGGAGAGGAAGGAAAATCAAAGGGTTAAGTTACGGAGAGAGGAAGGATGCGCCTAAGGAGCCGGATATCCTTACCACGCTCGCTCGACGCTGTTACACCGCTCGGGGGGGCTACCAATCTCGCGGCCGAAGTCGAAGATTGCGCGGGGTAACGTGCCTCTTCCTCGGAATCCCGAATTTTTTTTATTCATTATGTTTTATAATTATATACGTTGAATTAACGGCACGTCATCAGGACATCCTTCAAGACGCATTATCGCATTCTTCATCCGCGCGCAGCAAATGTTTTCGCAATAACGCGAGCGTCGCTGTACACCATCGGGATCGTCTTAGACGACGGTAACGCGACAAAAATTCGCGAGCGAAGTTTTTCGAGAGCGCAATTAACGACACGGCAGTCTCCTACCCTTGCGCCGTGTGTGTGCGTGCGTGCGTGTGTGCGTGCATGCCTTTATTTAGCTTTAGTTGGTCGAAACCGGTTGCAAGCGACTCCACTCCACTCTCTGATTCGGAAGAAAAAAAAAGAGAGAGAGAGAGAGAGAGGGAGGGAGAGAGGGTGGGAGGGAAGGAGGAATGCTGCGGTCCAGCGCACCGCAACTTTTAGGGTTCCCTTAAGGCGCAGGAAGGAATTTCGCGCGGCCGAATAAAGCGGCATCGTGAGGACGTCCACATTTCTTTCAGCCGGAAATTATCGCTAAGGTAACACTGCGTTTAGTCGCTACCGATTATCAGCAGGTAGTTCGATTTGGATAAAGAGTTATCTATTTACTTCTAATTCGTCGTGCATGTAGTATACTGATGCGCATAACATTAACGTTACATGCTAAAAAAATTGCCAAGAGACTTCTTTTATGTATATATTATGTATATATGTATATATGTACAAATAAAATATTCCAATAATTTTTTATATTAATGAGAGACAAAGGTATAGAAATCTATGATTAAACGTATGTTTTACACTATTTCAAGGTAAATTCATTAAAATATAGATTCTTCTTTTTTCCCCTATTCAAAGATCAGCAATTATAAATGTTTTTTGTGGCAACAAGTAATTCGAAAATAACTCGATAAGATCGAGCGATTCTATATTTGCATTATTTTTAATTGCGTGCATTTATCATCATTTTGCGTGCAGATGCATTTATCATCTGTATTAAATATTATGCAAGATATAACGTAACACGGGGTTCAGCGCAAAGTGCTTACGGGGACAAGGATCTCGCGCTTCTCTATCGAAATTCGGTCAGGGTCGATCGGATAATTTGCTACCTGTGCCCGCCACCGGCCACTTAATTACTCTTTCTTGCGCCCTGTAATTTTCGTTTCTACCTCTCGCGGGTCTCCGTCCAGAACGAAAGCGTGCTACGTGCCTCACGCTAGATCGCGTGGGCAGCTTGCGTCATTAAGGGTAGTAACTTGCGGTGCCGGAATGACTTTGGCTCCGGCGGAGAAAGTGGCCGGGTGTGGCCAGGCATTACTACTCTATAGGAGACAATCTTTCTCTCTCTTTCTGACGGGCTTATATACGTGCACATGTGCAGTGAATGAAGTTCTCCTTCGAAAAACTGTGTTTCTCAATTTGCCTAATTCTAAATTCTTTTGTAATAGATGATAAGTACACTCAGAGAAATAGACAATTCGTTCAAAAATTAACAAATGGATAATTTAATATTTTAAATCGGAATTATGAAAAGCCGATCAATTATTATCAATGATATCCGGCTATCATTGATTGGACATTATTCTAATCTTGATCGGCTTTTCATAATTCCGACTAAAAATATCGAATTATCCTTTTGTTAATTTTTGAACGAACTGTCCATTTCTTTGAGTGTACGGGGGATACACATATATATATTTTAATTATTCCTTACTCCTCATCTCGAGATAATTATCTTTCCTCGTGCCGCTGATTCATCGCGGTGCTCTCGATTCTCCGCGATCGCGATCGAGATGTATCTCTCGTCCTTCTCGCGTTCTCTCGCGCGACACGTGCGAGAGCGCGGCGCGCGCTAAGATCGCACGTGGGTGCACGCGTCGTACGTCACGCGCTGGACCGACGACGGTCGGCGCGTTCGGTAGCCGCACTGCCGCCGCCGCCGTCGCCGGATCGAACGGCCGGGGTTCGACGAACTCTTTGTCTCGAAAACCGGACAAACCGTACGTTCGTACGTACGTACGTCGGCCACCTCTGGCCATACCGCAATAGCGCCTAACATACCTCGCGTTTCTTGCCTCTCCCGTGACAACGTCGCCGCCGCCACCGCCGCCGCGCCGGTATGGCGAGCCTCCCTTTCGCAAAATTCAAACGCGAACTGTCTCGTTTCTGAGATTAGACGCAGTTATAACAATGCAATTTGGCTAGAACAAAGATAATACCTAAATCGGATAGAAATCTGTGAATATTTTTCTTTGAAATTTGAATCAAATGTCACGGGAGAGAAAGTCTTCCGTATTGTTACGCTCGTTTTGGGGAGAAACCGAGAATTCCGAGGACAAACAGGTTGTAAAAAAATAAGCGTGTTCATTGTTACGAGATTTACTTACGGTACATATTCGCTGTGTTTTTCAACGCTGTTTTTACTTCTTGCTCACTCGCCCGCTTCACGCGAACGCGGAGTTGGCGAGTACACACCGTTGCGGTCGTCGGGGTCCTCGCTTCTTAACCGCGGGCCCCTTTTTCTCGAGCCGATTTACGGCGCGATACGCAAGAGGGAATTACGCGGCGAATTTTATGCGCGTTTTATTTTTTTCTTTCCACGTACACTCTTAACGCGCCGACCGACGTCCCGAAACAACGTATCCCGCCAACAATGTTACAGATCACCGACAGGCTGACAGGAAACATAAATATCGAGTCTCTGAAAGTTCGAAGCTCCGAATGCGTTTCCTCCCTTTTATGGGAGTGACTCAACCCTTTTCGGGCGGAATGGCGATTGCGATTTTTGCATGCTTTTTGTGCGCGACCAGGTACCAGAAGAGACCGGTAGCGCGTTCTGAAGGATCACATCTTTGAATTAACCTGTAGCTCGATAAGATCACGCTTGACCGAGAAAAATTTAACGACTGTTCTTCAACGGAAAATTTACGGCTGACATTACAATATATCACCTCTTGAAGCGCCTGTTTAACCCTTCGTAGTCACACTTTTCTAATAGAATCCCGCGGTAGTCACACTGAGTCGTATTGACCCAATCGATTTTTAATGGTTGCTATTTTAATGGTATCGATCCGATCAGGTTCAAATAATTCTGGAACATACCTTGAACATTCTAGAATATAAAACAACTGCGGTTTTGTAAGAAATCAAATGGCAACATGTTGAAAAAAAATCGTGAACGAGTACATGATTAATAGTCTCTATCTATAGAGGATACTTCAAACTGTATACTTTGTAGATGGTGAACTAAGCCCCATTTTAAGCTAGACATTTAGCATTTAGCTGATATTTAGATCCAAATGAGTGTGGGTCATATTGACCCAAGTGTGACTACGAAGGGTTAAAAAGAAGAACAAATCTCGTTGAAAGATAGTTTCGATGATTGATTAATAAATGACTTTCGTGGAAAGCTTCTGATTAGCGAGCATCCGCCCTCGGGGACGTGCCCTCCGTGTCATTCTTCGAGATTTCAGACGGTTCGTTCCCTCCCGACTCCCTCCGCTTCCAGCAGTCTCGTCTCTATGCCTTCTCGCCTTTCGCTCGGAACCTCGGCGAACCTCGGGCCATTGTTAAAACTTTTTCGAGGTTATTACACGTGAGATATGTAAATGCGTCGCCGGTCGGGGTCGGTCCTCGACGTCGAAGGACCAGCTCCACCAGGTCGTTCCCACTCGCTCTTTCGGGCTCTTCCTCGCTCTCTCACTCCCGGTTCTTTTGCTCCGCTCAGCAGGGGCGGATCGGAATACAGCGTGGCAGACAATTCGCGATCTTGTGCAATCGCGTACATGGTCAGTCCTTATTATAGTTATAGGGACGCGAGTCCTTCGTTTGAAGACCTTTAAACGATTTAATCACATAAAGATTTAAATTACTTAAAAAATTATTTAAAACCGAAATTCCTAAAAGTTGAGCGAATCGAAAGTTTTAGATGTCTTGAAACTCTTGAAAATCTTCAACGTCCAAAAAATATTCCTTAAAAAATGTTTGAATATCTGAAACGTTAAAAATTCTTAAAAGTTGTTTATGGTAGTCAGTTAGTATTATAATTATTATAAATTATAAACAATCGTTGAATTCGTTTAACATTCGAAATAATCTCATATTTTGTATCTATAATTTATATCTCTCTCATCCGATTATCGAATTTATTTAGGGGTTCGATTAAACTAACACATTCTTCCCAAAAATATCGATCCAATAGGTCTGTAATCTGTATCAGTTTTGACATTTCTGAACTATTTGACAAAAGTATCATAAAAGTATTCAAAACGTGCGATATCGAACCATCAGCTACTCACTCGCCGCTCTTGTACAAATATATTTTTGGACATGCAAGGATGTAACAACTGATGTTGTTCCATGCAACGACATCTTCTCCCTACGCCTGAATTGATATTATTTAATTGTACGCGGTGCGTCGTCCGAGATGGAATTTCTTTTCAGTATCCGCTCCTGCTCAGCTCGCCATCGCCACCACCGCCGCCTCTGCATCGTCATCACCATCTCCCCGACTTCTCTGTAACGGATAGGCCTCACCTCCGGAACGGAACTGACTCCAGTCTGCTTTCGGTTTGGCCATCGCGAATGCCAGCGCGTCGAGCTCAGTAAGAGCGTGGCGTTCACGACGTGCGCTTCGCTGACCGCTCCGAACACGCGTTTGTCGTCCTCGTTATCCCGGATAAAGTTCCCGGCGATCAGACGCGATTGCCCCAATCCGCGCTATCCTAGTCCTATCGTTCTCAGAGCGAAAAAAAAAATTCAAAGAATACGCGCGCACATGTGCGCGCACGCGCGAACGAAGAACGGGGAACCTGTGACGAGTGGATCAAATCAGGATACCGCATGTGACCGGGTTGGAAGGAATGAGTCCAAATAATTCGGCGGATCCACGAGAAAGAAGCTCGATGTTCAAAACGAGCCTGTAAGAGTCTTCTCTGATAAAGAACGATCTCCTTTTTTTTTTAAACGAAACGATTCGATTCTTCCAGTATTATAAATAATTAGGTTAATATATGTGAGTTTTAGTGACATACAGAGATATTAAATCTCTCCAGACAGATTGTTACGATGTGTTTTCCCCGTTACATCCACGGTATTCATATTTACAACGATATCAAATCGATCATGCTGCGATCCTTAAAGTAGTGCTAATTAGTGATTAACCGTGATTGATTTTACTAAAGACTTTTGCCACGATCGAAGCTACATTAATCGAAATTCGAGATCGACTGACAAAAAAGAATGAAGCGGAGCGCACGGATGAACCTCCGTTCTTCTTCCGTTTTGGCGCGAAGCTGAGGAGCAGCCTGGCGTTTCGCGATGCTCGCTCGACTCCACTCGATCCTCGTCGAGTGTTTCACTCCGTCCGTGCTTCACTCTACTTACTGAGGCTGACCCTGTTCGTAATAATTAATGGCGTTAGACCTGGGCGAGTGCGTGGCAGCGGTTTACTCATGCCTGGCCCCGGCGATAAGTATGTACATATACGCGGACTCTCGGGTATCCGTTCGCGTCCGCGAGTAATGCCATAGAGCGCTCCGCCGGTTATTAAACAATTTCCGCGCGCAATTGAACACGCTCGTAATTAACGACGTTGTAATTAACGGCGTTAGCGCATGCAGATCGCTCGTTGAAGTTACACTCGTACTATCCGGCGCTAGACGCGAGACGCGGTCCTAATTGATCATTAACACGGGGGATCCCATCGATCTCTTCTGCCCTCCTTCGCTTTCGGTCGTGACTTCGTCGGATATTATCATTATTGTATACAGCCCCGGCAGTTTGTAAAGACCCGGAACATACTACTCGCGAGGCGAACGGCGCAACGGTTGGCTTAAGTCTCATCAGGTCGCAATGCTCCCGAGAGTAGTTGATACGCGTCTCTGATAGCCTCGATGTGCACTGGGATGATATGATTGAAAATATTCGAAAGGCTCGAGCGTAAGCCTAGCACACGCCTAGGCACACGAGCGAGAATTTGACACGCGAGCGCAACGGAAGGGGGATCATAAATCATTAATGCGATCCGGCATTCCTCCGTTAATGAGATCCCCTCTCATGAAACGAAGCCGGAGTTGGTTTTCCCAAATGTTGAGCATCAAGAGCAGCCAACTAAGCTTCACGCGGCTCGCCTTTCAATCAGCTTCAAGTGGAATCAATTTCTACATAATTGATCTACCGCTTTGATAAATACGTTTCCCAATGCTTGGAACAGTAGATAAATCATGTAGTTTTACAAATATATTTGCTTACTGACTACCTGTTTTAATTTTTGTGTAAAAAAAATAGAAAATCGTTTGAACAATCTCGTTTAAACAATCCTTGTTCGAGCAACCTCGTGATTCAATAAAAATTCCGTCTATTCGCGGAAATTCGTTAATAAATTAAGAATTCATGTAGAACAGGCTGAAGAGACTAATCGGCCTGGATCGATTGGAGGCATGTGAGTGTCATTTAATCACTAGTGTGGTTTTACAGGCGCAGCCGGTGAACCCTAACCGAGACCGCGGGCACGGGTGCGTGACTGCAAGGATGCGCGCACGCAGGAGACGGTGCGTGATGTCCCGGTGACAACGACGACGGCGATCACGACCACGACCACGCACGCACGCGAGCTCACACACGTGTACACGCGCGAGAGAGAAAAGAGAGAAGAAGAGAAAGAGAGAGAGAGAGAGAGAAATAGAGAGCCAGAGACAGCTGCCGATGCCGCAATGAGGCTGGGCCCGATTATCCTGTCGTGGGCCACGGCCACGGCTGGCTGGCTGGGCCCGTCGAGCGGAATCACGGTGACGGCGACGGCGATGGCGCGGACCTCGCGCTCTCGGGACTACGAGCTCTCGACCGAGTTCTTCCTGGTGCCGTCCGAGATCGGGCACGGCCTGGCGAGCGTGGCGAGCGTCATCAGCGTGCCGGCACCGAATCGGACGATCACCGTTTTCAGGACGCCGCCGGGCGTCAGGAAGAGCCAGGAGGTGGAGATGCGACCGACTCCGAAGTCCTTGCTGAAGCAACGGCCCTGGGCACTGCCGCTCGCCGCGCTCAGTGCCGCGGCGATGCTCCTTATGGCCGGCTTTGAGGTCTTCGTGTTATTCAAGGTGGGTCCGGAATTATTTAACGATTAATGCATTTATTATGTTCTCTTTGTTCGCTCGTTGTGAATGCTTTATTTCTTGCCTAACGTATAAATAATTTTTCCTTTGATTTCTCAATGAATATTGAATATTTCCTGAAATGAAATTCTATGAGTATAGTCAGTATATAGTATATATATAAAAATTTTATTCTATAGTATTACATATGTATCTTTATAATTGGACTTTGCAAATGATATCACTCTCGATTAATTCATCATCATTTGTAAATCTTTTTATTTTACTTATTTTATTTGAGTTATTATATTTGATTTCAAATTATATCTGTTTTATTCGCACAAGTCCATCTCTCAATCCATTCCGCCTCATATCAGTTTATATTCCACACATTCACCATATAATTATCCTGCCTGTCTATTTACTATTTATTTTTTTATAATTTTATCAACGTTTATTTTAGATTTTATTCTAGAGCATAATAAAATATTGTCATCCGGTCGTTAGCTCTCGCGATATTCTAATTTCACTTTTCCGCGTCGATCGAAAAGTGTGCGTCCGAAGCGACGTTGAGATAAGGGAACTGGTCCCACGGGTGAAATGGAACGCGTAAACATCGACAAGATTTGTCACTTAGCGATCGCGCAACTGCGGGATTAATAGAGCTCGGAAAGGAACTCGCCTATCGGCCTCTCCCCGCCGACCCACTATTAATCGTTTTCGTTTCGACAAGCTCCAGTAACCGGCGCCGAGGGAATTTCGCCGAGACCTAGGCCCAGTTTACGCTCACGTCAGACCGGCCCCGGTTTTCTATCCCGCGGCGGTCGCACCCTCCGTCGCGCTCCATTGAGCACTCGCGACGAGAAAGGCCAAGCTAGCTGAACGCTGTCCAATTAATTGGTATCGGAAATTCGGGATTTCAATTCGAGAAAAAGTAAATCGAGAATGAGATTGAACAAATAAAATTAAAGTTTGATTAATATGATTGATGATATACAACAATTCACGAAGTCTATTAAACATTCTGAAAATTTTGAGAAATATTATCTAAAAATTTAGCGTTTCATTTTATATTATGCCTCTTTTTTCTCTCTCTTTCTCTTAATAATATATGAGCTATGAAGATTTATTTATGAAAATATATGTTGTTCTCTCGTTTTTCCTTCATTCATATATTATATATAAACGAAGAATATGGAATTTTAGTAGCAAAAAATAGTAAAAGGTATGGAAAACAACTGATTAATTTGTAAATATGAAGCGAATCTGCGAGCAGAAAAATATCGGTTATTTTAATCGGTGAAATTAACATCGGCCCCACGTGAGCTCACTTCAAGTTTAATCCGCGCATAATTATGACGCGCGAGCTGTTACGGTCCACTCAGCGCGACTCGCATTTTGCGTCTCAATCCTCTTTACGGAATTAATATCGCGTGAGAGCGATATGGAGATCGGTACTTCCAGGACACTTGAAAATGCACTCTTGTATCTTGCGGAGTACGCGCCAAACCACCCGAGTATATCAAATGACTCGACGAAAGTGCATTTTGTACTTTAAATGTAAACGTATAGCATGACAAAAATGTATGGTATACGAAGTATAGAACAGCGGATATATTTAGAATCAATTAGTCAGAACATTGATATCAGCATCTCGATATTATAACACAACAATTATAACAAGCGACTTGAAATCTTGTTCAAAGAGCTAACATAAAAAACTTTTAATTAAAAAATTATTTTTTTTAATTCGCAAAATAATTGTTTATTTTTTATCATTCTCAATGGCATTGTTCTAGGCTAGAGCAACGGCACCGAACAGACGACACTTGTTTCTGGGTCAGGCGTTGCTCTTGGGCCTCTTCCTCCTGGCGGGTCTCTCGGCCGCGGCCTCTCTCAGCCAAAATCCGCTGTCCTGCGCCGCTTTCCGGTTGGTGGGTCTCCCCGCCGCCCTCGTATTCGCCGCTCTGCTGGTCAAATGCGTTTTCCTGCTCTCGTTGAACAGCGGGGTGTACCTGCCGGCGCCCTATCAGGTGAGCAATCATATACAGAGTATTCTAGAATCACAAGCGATTCATCGACTAATTTAGCATACCTACGTTTTTTACAACTACCGTATTTTTAATAAGCGACGAAGATCATTGATATCAAGAATTTATTTCTCGTACAAATAATTATTTTGATAAAACATCGAAGCCTATCAAAATAGCTAGTATGGAGAATTGAAAGTTAAAAAGACACTGAAGAGTCCATATCGGTCGAAGAGGTGGCGAAATTATTTTATAACGCGTGAAAGAGGAACATCATCGATAAGACGCTACACGGCTAATCAAAATAGGCATCACGAGATGCACACGAATATATAAATTATAACGTCATTTTATTCGTCTTCTCCCGCGGAGAAACTCCGCGCAGCGGAGCGACGCGCTGACGATCCCCGTCGATATTTTTTCATCGCGTGCGCACCGATCCGGATATTCATCTCGCATGGCCATTTCTATCGTCGCGAACGAGTCCCGGATCCTTCCATCCAGCCTTCTCCCCTCGACTTCCCCTTTTCCCTGCGTTGCGTCATCGTACCGTACGCGCGACGATTAATTATAGGCAAGCGCGCGAGCGCGAAAAACCACGGAGGCAATTATCGCGGCGGTGTGTTGGTGCGCACGCTGAATGACAGGCGTGGCAGGACGTGCACTTCTCGCCCTGCGGAGGCCTCCTCCCCACAGGATAAATATCCATTTTTCACGTTCGACGTGCTCTCTCTCGCCTACTCCGGCGCTTCTCGGTGGATCGTTTTTACGAGGTCTCCAGGAGAACTTTTCTTTAAAAAAAAAAAAAAAAAAACACGCACGTAAACGAAATCGGTACGATCTGTACGCGGCTGACAAGATGCGCCTACTACCCGGTGAAATGTAATTACATTCGCGTAATTGAGAACACTGCCGTTGAAATGTTTGATTAGAGGAAAGCGGTGGCTGGCCGATACGCGCGAGTGACATTAATAGGATTTTAACGATGTAATTATAGCCCTTGTATCTTCTCCGTGTCCTTAAGACGCGAGGATATATAAGAGCGAGAGATTAAATTTCCAGGCGAGGAGAACGCCATACACACGGTTGAAACTTGGAAATTTTCCACGCGTATATCTCTCGAGTAGGCCATTCCTATTTCTCATATGTCACGGCGGCGTCTGACGTCACGGCGTTAAAAGAATGCACGCCGGCGGTGCCGATGTCACCGCAGGCCGTTCACCTTTAATTAAAGGCGATCGACCAGGGGTAGACGGCCGCGTGAATCTTATATAGAGGGGAAGAGTGTAATCGTGCGAGGGCCTTTCTTGTCTCGGTTCTCGATGCTGCAGGCGCTGGTGCTGGTGTTCGCGGTGTTGGTGCAGGTGGCCATTGTCGGGCAATGGTTTTACGGCGAACCACCTGCGGTGATCCAGGTGCAGCAGCAGCAGCAGCAGCAGCAGCAGCAGCAAGCGACGGGCCAAAGCTCGCCAACGTCCATCACCTCCTGCAGGACTCCTCTCGGACAGATAGTGGCTTCCCTCGGGTAAACTTTTTGCGAAATACATAAAACTCTCTCCGTTCCCCAATTTACTCGAGAAACAAGTAGTCGAATCGATCAAGCCAATTTATCCCCGCGTCATTCGCGTTATTTAATAATCTTCCGCTATTATTTTCCAACATTTTGTCTTTAATTCCCTTCATACTTTGATCGAATTGTTCAAATTGATTAATATTCTCAAGACGCGCGACTCAGCCTGACGATCCTGGTAACTACCTTCGCTATAGGTAAACGAAACCCGTTCTTTCCGCACGTGAACTTCTCTACGTGAATTCCAGGTATCCCGGAGCGTTATTAGTGGCAGTGGCGTGTTTAGCGGTCCGTGCGCGGGGCGTTCGGGACAATAATCGGGAGGCGGCCTTCATCGGCCTGGCGGTCGGCCTCTCGTTGCCGATTTGGATCTCAAGCGGGATCGGCACCCTCGCGGCCGGCAGCGACGGCGATCGAGAGGCCTGGCTGGCTTACGGCCTGCTCGCCACGTCGCTCTTCGTCTTCCTCACGATGTTCCTGCCGAAGGGACGTCAGCTAGCTGCCCTGGGTCGCGAAGGGCCCGCCGCGGTCATTCGCGATCGCGACGACGGCCTCAGCTCCCTCCCCGGCAGCGGTTACTCGCCCTCCTTCTTTCACTTCAAGCCCGCGGAGGCGTCCCTGAAGAGGAAGATGCATTACCACAGTGCCGGTAGGTCGTGCCCTTTTAAATAAACGGATAACGAGAATGAAGCCGTTCGCAATAATGATACGTTGAACAGAAGATGCGCAACAATATTATCGCGACGATCTCTCTCTCTCTTTCTCTCTCTCTCTCTCTTTGCTTATCCGAATATCCAAGTTTCTCTCATCGCGCACGCACGTACGTTTCGCGATTACACCTCTCGGGAGCTGTAGCGCGCAACGTTTCTCGTTCCGATTCGTTTGTTCGATACCCGCGGGGTAGATCTTCAGGTCAACGCGCGGTACCCGCGCTAAAAGTGCGGACAACGTAATCGCGCGCCGAATAACGGAAATGCGGTCACGACCGGCGGGATCGCCGGCGCGTGAAACGTGAATAAATGGATAAACGAGAAAGTAAATAAACGGAACATGTATTTTCGTTTAAGAGAAAAAAAATGGAGCGGCAATTCTCGCAATCGATGACGCGGAAATGTTCGCGATCACGATAATTGCACGCGAAGGTACGCGTGCGTCACTTAAGAATCAAGTTGCAAATATACATATCGCTTAAATCTGATCGAAGATCCTGATGTCCCTTTGAATCGTGAATCATGGAATAGGGATGACGAGCTTAATCGAGCGTAATTAACTGGCAATCGACTAAGACAGCGGTCTCCAGAGTAGATAGTATCGCATCTCGCGTATAATCATTCCTTCCCTTACCTTCTCTCTCTCCCTCTTGGAATTATCATAACGTGGAAACTTCTAATTATAGATCGAGTCGCACTGGTCTCGTCCGGGATACCCGGATGCAGCGCCTGCAGGCACGGAGGAAGTCCCATATACTCGGACGGTAAGCCGTCATTATTTATTTTCAGAATCAGGTTGATTATTATTACGTGCCGTATGTATAAAACCGCCCTGTTGCGCGTCGTAACGTATCGCGGCGCAAAGACCCCGTCGTAGGTGCCCCGGGACGTTCACTGGGATTTTCACCGCGGTTACGGTACGGTCGTCGGTGTCCTTCGCGTCACGCAACAGCGCATATTTAAGGCCTATGACGAGGCACCGACAAATGTGACATCGATCTAAATATGATATGTTATAATTAGCGTAACGATCTTAATCATTTCACGTCCAGGGGAACATGTACGTTTTAGCATGTTTAAAAAATCAAATTTCGGTGATATATGTGTATTGAGTCATTAAGGTCAAATAGGGTTATTAATTATTTAGGGCGATTTTATTTTAAACTTTAATACAAGAATATATGCGATGGATATTGTTATGAAATACCAAGGGTTATTTGCATAAAGTTAGAAAGTTCTCGGATTAACCGTAAAAGCTTTGAAATAGCGCGCAGTGTTACTTTCGCGTGACGAAATATATAATTCTAAAAATATAAAATTCTGATGATATTTACACAATACATAAATACTATAAATTAAACTTTCGAGCCTCATGTATATTCCCTTATCATAGTCATATATAGTTAATACTTTCAGATACGAGATATGGAATATGGGTTGAAAACTGTTGTACTTTACTACCCACACTTCTTACCGATATACGTTTTATCATATTTTTTTATCTCGCTTGATAAATTAAATCTTGCAATCTTAAAATCATCTTAATAGAAAAACTTTCATTTAGAATTTAAATATATTTTATCTTTTGCATCCGCAATATAAGATTCGTTATCTTGAATTTTTACGTTTCCAACGACCGTAGAAAATTTAAAAAATAATTGTCCTAGATATGCTTCTCTTCTAAAAAAAAAAAAGTCGGACGTGAAACAGTTAAATGACATCATTATTATATCCTTCGAGATCGGACTTTTTGTTTCAAAAGAATTTGATTTTAAAATTTCAGGGGCAGTGTGCCGTTCTGTGCAAAACTTTTCCCGTTTTATTTTTCATCTGCAGCTGAGAAAAATTTATTCAAACATATATTCTTCCACCGAGAGAGTGTTCGCCGTATACGTCGGTATCGCGCGGTGTATATCGTCCGCAGAATCTCGACACTTCCTGTCCTGCCCGCGCGCGCATTTCCTGGCCCGAAACTTTTCCTTCGTCACGCTAACGCCCTCGGCGACCTTCACCTCGAGGTGCGAACGAACGAAAGAGAGGAAAAGCGACGGAAGGGAGAGGACTGCGGGAGACACGGGTCGCGCGCGGCGACGAAGAAAGGGCGGAGAGGGAGAAAGTCCGAGGCGGAGGTCAATCGCTTCTTGCTTCGCGATGTTGGAGACGCGCGGGGGAGGGAGAACGAATCCCGTTAGATTGGACCGTGTCGCTAACGACGACGCTAATCGCGGTAACAAAAATCCGCCGCTAAAATGGAATGGAACGATCGCGACGGATCTTGCTCGCTCCGATCAGTAATATCTTTACGAAGACGCAGCGGCGGGCTTTTCCTCATCTTTCCTCGTCCGAGAATCCGAGTTTCCAGATATATTTCCCTTTGGAGAGAACAACAATACCGTATAAGCGGGAGTTTCACACTTTCTAGAGACACATAATGGAAAAGCGCGCGCGTACGAGTTTCTAGATCCTATTCAGTTTTATTCGAAGGGAACGCGCCATTGTAACGGGGTCGCGCCGTTACTCGCATTACAAACGAATCAAGAGAAAAAAATAAACAATTAAAAAAAAAGGAAAAAGGAAGACGAGAAAGAAAAAGTCTCCTATCGATGCGAATCATCGGCGAATCGGCGATTCATTTCTCAAACGCGCGCGCGCGCGAGCGTTCATACAACACACGGACGGCGTAGATCATCGTTGGATCGTAAATCACAGCTGGGATGACTTTCACCCACGCGCGATACGCATTTACGTTAAAGAGCCCTCGCGCGCGTCCATTCAGCGGGGAACGACGTAGCACACTTTGTAAACGAGTGCTACGCCAACCGGCCGACGTCGCGGCCGTTAAGCCGCGCGCGATCCTCATGTCGGATCTTCGAGAAATCGAGAAACACGCCACTTTCGCCGGAGGATTCGACAACCGGGGGCCCTCGTTCTCGTAAGTGCGAGAAATTTTCCCGCGGACGTTATCCCGTCGATAGATCGCACATCGCACACGCGCATCCCCCCGGCCGCGATGTACGATTTTTCCTTCGCGTTTCTTGCGAGAGACGCTCGTTATTGCGAGCAAGGCGTGAAATATGCATGAGATTACGAGAGAGGCGAAGGTCGCTAGCCTCCTCGGACCGGGTACGACGGGCTGGTTCACGATTCTCATTATGCGAGGCACGACATCTCGCTGACACGAGCTTCCTTTATCATTAGTCCGTAGCGCGCAGACCAACGAATGCAAATACGAGAAAAATATAGAAATAGCAGCGAAACTTTTGCTGGAATATAGCGACATTGCGTTGGAAACTGAAGTATTTTTATTTAATATATTATCTATATCGTTTCGCATTGTAAGGATTATTATAATTATTCGAGTTATCTTAATGTACAATTTAAAACAACTATCAGATTTCACTAAAGCGAGAGAGAGAGAGAGAGAGAGAGAGAGAGAGAGAGAGAGAGATCTTGTAACTTGAGTATATGAAAATTATGAGAACAACTTATAATTAACAGCTTTATCAAAAAATCATCTATAATTACAATGTATAAGCATTGCTATTTACATATTATAACTTCTTATATTATATACAGTTTTTTATATGTAGCATAGTGAAATATATACAATCTTTTATAATATGCATTGTAACTTTAGCTAATCAGATAATATAATCAGAAATATGTGCATATATAATTGGTTGTCAGTTGGTATTAAATTAATATATTAACGTAATAATATTACATATACTGTTAAATATTAAAAGATGAAATTTAAATCATATTTTAAGTTAAATAACATTTTGTTATTTTTAATTATGTCAAAATGTATTATTTTAATACAAAACTGTATTATTTTAACTTCATTGATTTAGTTAAATTAACAACATATTGAGTAAGAGCAGTGGCGACCTAGAAATGGTTCAAGTGATTCAAATTGAGCATAATTTGACACTACGAATTTAACGGTGTATTGACATTTATAGCTTATAGTAATAAATGCTATAATGTGTCGTTATATTCCAACAGAACATTATAAAGAAATATATTTATACTTCTCTCTCTCCTGCTCTGCGATATTTTCTTCGTATAAAAAAAGGAATTAAAAAAATAATATTATCTGCGCTTTATAATATTTCTGCAAAGAAAGGTTTCCTCAATTTTTCATAAGAAATTATGTTAGGAGCGTATATCGAAAGAGTTTAATTACAGATTAGGCTATACGCGTGTCAAGGCAAAGACGAACTCGCGTAATCGCCTTGTAACGACAGCTGCGAACGACGAGACCTACTTTAAGCTGACGATTTTAAATTACAGTCGCGCTTAACGCGTACGGCGTAACGAGGGCTCCGTCCCGGTTATGCACAACGCGCGATTTCGATTCTTGCGTATACTCGATACCCACAATTCATTTATTAACGGCGAGGCGAAAATGATAGCCGCTATATAGACACACGGCACGGAAAGTTACGTCCGGATACGCGCCTCTTCGATCGATACTGAATAATAAAAAGCATTTCCGGTGGATGTAAATCGAGGCGATGCGTAGGGGGGAATCGCGGTGTGCTCCAGTTTTCCGAACGGAATCTTGATTCTCTCTTTTGCAAACTGATTATTCAGAATACTTAAACATTATCAGATGAAACGCAAACACGTATCTCTGTTTCCAGATGTACACGGACCGATGGAGACGTTCGTTCTGCCACCCGGTATGTACTTGAGGCCGGAGGACGCCGGGAATCTCTACACGACCTTGTCGGCCAATCCCAACGTGTTCTTCCAAAGGGCTGCCCATCCCGGAATGATGTACTGACGATGAGACGGAAATCTTATCGTCCACGACAAGACTCGTGTATGAGTGTCGCGTCTTAAGATTAGATTACTCGACAAGCGCGAGTGTTGATCTCTCGTTATTGTAAATAATCGTCGTTATCAGACTTGGTGAACGACTCTGCGTATGCTTCTTTGTAACTCGGACGATCATCGCGGGTGTGTATCCCGCCGGAGAGGCGTACGCGATCAATTGCAGATCGCCGTGAGCAATGAATGCGTGCTGCGAATCGCCGATGCGAGAGATTCGAACTGGAAGTGTATGCGTCTCTGGAATAAATGTTACGACACATTTTTTTTACATGAGAAACATTATTTTCCACTCATCTTCGATGCTGGCGGATAAGTTTCCCTAATTAACCGGGGAACGAGCGCTTAATTTTGTCTTTTTTCTTTTGCATAAATAGTTACCTGGGATGATTTTTACACCCCAATTAAAGTCATTGTTATTAATTACATATTGCATATTTTTTAGTATATTCTATAATTTAGTATTTGAAAACATGGGGAGACTGGGGCTATGTGTCTACAGTACTGCTATCTGAGGTTTTAAGACGTACCATTGTAACAAATAGTTTAAAAATGCTCTACGTAAAGAGATTTAAAAATTGTTTGTTTTCTTGCGATGCTTCTCGCAGACGCATACGTTAAACGAAAAGCGAAAGCAATTATTCACATTTTTTGACGGTCAAAAAATTTGCTGTGCGACAGTAGTTTAACTAAAATTAAGGTAAGCAATTCATAATATTAATATGTAGTTATCAGGCGTGAGAAGCGTCAAATCTTAATTCCGCATAATCTAAAATTCGCAACATGTTAAAGTGAAAAAACGTGGTTGGGGCTATCTGTCCTATTTTTGATGGGGCAATGTGTCCACACTTCAATGACGGATTGTTCTTTTATAAATAGACAATGGTGCGTAACTATACAAAAAAAAGACTTTCCTTAAGACGGATAATAAGTAAATATACTCAATAAAATTATATTTAGAGCGATTAAAAGAATAAAAATCAAATGAGAATCTTTTCGCTAAAACAGCGTTAGACTTCAGGATAAAAGTTCGGGCTCTCACTCGCTACTAAAAAAGTGAGTAGCTACTTGGATCCTGCGATTCAAAAATCGTCTTATTTTAAAAATATACGTCAAATTAATTGCCGCGCATCAGTCCGAAGACCTCACTAAATCATTCAATCGGTAGTAGCGACAGACCGTGTGTACAAAGGGCATGCTAAGCAGGGTATCCTGCCCGTAGGAATCGCGATACTCTTCGAGGCATGATAGCGATTTCTGGAGATTATAACAATCTAAATGGAAACGATGCCCGTGTTGTCGCCTCAGACTCCCACCTTGAATGAGCGGATTAACGATGATAAAGGCGACGAAAACAGACAGGAGATCGAATATCGCCATCTTAAGCCTTGTGTCCACGGTGCACGGTGCTAGAAATCGCTCCAAAATCTCGGATGGAGGAAAAATTGATCAATCACATATAAACAATACGGCCAATTGATCAATGCATATTGGTTAATTCTTTCACAAGGCTTTAGAACAACCCGGAATGGATTTTAGCTTCTTTCCGTGCTTTTCATATATAATTTTTTTTTTTCGACAAAATTGACGGTGCGTATTTCAGCCAGACACTGGAAAATGTGAATACGCGGCGCGGTATATCGAATCAGAATTTTTCAAGTTTGATCGACCGTCCGACGGAACGTTCGGCCACGTGACGCAAATGGAAAATATTTCGACAACCCTTATAGAAATTTAATATAAAGCACTATTAACAGTGCTTTTAATAGTGTTTTTAAGTGATTAATTACTAGCCAAAAAATCACTTACAGTATTAAATTTCTATAAGGGAATCAGGCTGTTTTTCGGACTGGATGCCGCGCGATTCTCTGTAATAATTTGCCGGTCAATGTTTGGCGTGCGGCACTGACCAACGTCACGACCAACGGCAAGACACGCGAGAGTCTCGAGAACTTTCTGGATTCCCAGCGAGTTTCCTCGGCGGGTTACTCAACGCGAATTTGTCGTCGGGATTTGTAAGATTGAAAGACGAGGTGGTTATCTCTGTTCGTCTCGGTTTGCTCGTCAAAATCGTCGACATACCTCATGTACTTTGACGTGAACAATCTGTATGGCTCGGTGATGTGCAAGCCGCTGCCGTACAAGAACTTTCAGTGAGCTAACGACGCCGAGTGCTTCGACACTATGTCCATAACGTCGGACACCCGTCGGTCGGTTAATTTTCGAGGTGGATCTCGCGCGCATCCGCGGGAGCTCCATGACGTACACGCAGCTTTACGTCAAGTCGCGTTACGTCACTGTTCGCGCGCGTGAGTGGGGAGGGCGAAAAGTGGGGTGAGAGACCACTGATACCGAAAATAAGATTAACTTACAAGAAAACCTCGCGAACTCGAAAATTCTGATTTTAATAAAACTTCCCACATATGTAGGGGGAGTAAAAAGATGAATTTAGATATTTTTTGTAGCTGCCCAAAAACGGTTTTAAAGAGTGAAACCACTCCTGATATGTAGAGCGGCTTTTTGATTTTCTTATTGATATATTTCGAAAAGTATTCGAGATATCAAAAAATGTTTCAAATAAAAGTTTTAGGTAAAATCTCCTCTATTCAACAACATTAATATAATATTTTTTAAAAATAATTTTTTAAACAAAAAATTTTTTTTTTTAATTTTATTAATGTGGTTAAATAGCGATGTTTTTACCATTTTGCGAGAAGGAAATTATGAATGAAAGAAGTAATTATGAATTATATGTAACATTTATCAGCAATATACATTGACAACCGTTACGTCGACATTTCAAGTGCAAGTTGTACCATTGCGAAGAAATAACCGTAACTCAAGACAGCGCGCACTAGAATGAGGAACACGGAACACGTTACATTATAACGCGCTGGAAGGGGTGGAGCGTTTCCATGCATCTGCGCAGTCCGCTGTGACGCAACCCTCATCTTCACGAAGTATTACTTTATGGGAAATAAACATCTGTTATTATTATTACGTTGCTGCCATACTCAAATCAATCGATTGCACCACACACACTCCAAGGAAACAAGAAAACTCAACCGACAAGTAAACAGAAAACAAGGGAATCAATTTCTTTTCCGTCAAGTGCGTTTTAATTCTCAATGAAAAAATGATCAGTGTCGACTGTTTGCATATCAGATTCAATCGGCTTCTGTTACTCACAGTTGGTCTGTGGCCTTATCAACGGTCTAAACTTGTTAAACTCTAGTTCACATTGCTTTTTAGTGTTTTGACGACCTATATCCTAGGTCAGGTATGTTAACCTTATTTACTCCAACGTTTTTTCCGTCCCTTTATTCCTCCAACTACGCACTTTCGAGTCCCACGTGTTTTTCAAAACGTTAATAGCTTTGAAAAATTCCCCAAAAATTATTATAATATCTTTGTACCTTCGACTATAAATTAATGTAAAGAAAATTTGGAAATCATTTATTTAAATATTTTTTTACAACAATTATATGTTGACAAACACACGTTACGACTCGTTTTACTTAAAAAATCATAACTCACGAACAAATTGACGAAGCTTAATGAACAAAAACGCAAATTAAAGCTAAAAGTAGTGCAAATGAGAAAAAAAATATGAGATAATTATTAATTAAATAGGAATACTTAATTTCGTCGCCGCAAATTTGGTAATTTTTAAATGGTACAGAAGGACTTTAAGGACTTAAAGAATGCTAGAAAAAGAATTTCTGAATAAGAAAAGGCGAATTTGAAGTGTGACAGATATTTTTTATGTAAAAAAATTAATTTTTTTAAATAATCATAGCTTCTCGCTATCTCTTCCACCTGCCTCTGAGCCATAATAGACCTCTGTGGAATGTTAAATTTTTTTTTAACGACGAAAATATTTTAAATACGGTTAAATTATACACAAAAATACATTTTTATCGAAAAAAATGCTCATTTACCTTTCACACAACACTGACGTAATCCTCCAACCATGCACTTTCGTGTCCCACTGAGATTTTGATTGTTCGCCGTTTCGAGAGTAAATGAGCTAGGACTTTGAAATTTTTACCTGAGGTTCCCTACCACAACAACTTTTTTTAGGAGTGGAGGGATTATCTGACAATCATTTGTTTTCCGGAACAAACGACTGTTAGAAACTCGTGGGACACGAAAGGCATGGTTGGAGTGAATAGGGTTGATAATTTGAATTATATAATAACAAGATAAAAAATATAACGTTATTTTTAGCAATCTTTTATTTTGCGTTATAAGACCGTCACAATATTAAATATATTGATATTGATTTTATAACATGTGTTTGTTATTACATATCAAAAAAATTTAATTTCTAATTTTGCTTAATACATTGCAGTTAAATAGCTTTCTTATGTTAAATTATGATACATTGTAAAACAATTAAAGACTTAGAGCCTTTCTCTGGTTGCATTAAAAAATATATAATAATTTTAGTGTAAAATTATATTAAAGAATTTCTTTGCAGTTTGCAACATTTCTGACATCACAATGTACTCCAGATCTCCTCATTAATGTTCTTGCAACTGCATTATGCTACATCACCTTTGCAATTAATTATGGTTTACTTAGTATTAACGTTGAAGTCGTAAGTAAAACATACTGGATGACAATTTGGAAGTTCGTGAAACTAAATCGATTTTATTTTATGATAAGCAGAAAGCAGAAAATAAATTAAACGCTACAGAAAGAGACCAGTTTGTTTGTACCAGCATGTAGTGTAAAAGAAAAGTCATATATAAACTTGTAAAAATTAATATTATAAAAAAGGGTCAACAATAATATTTAGTTCATATACAGCATAACTCAATAATCAGTTCGAGATGGTTACTGAACTGACACAATAATTGAAGTGTTCTTCAAAAATTTACATATGCTATCTAACATTAATAACTAAAACTGTGATTTTGAAGAATCTTGGGGATATTTCTTTCATGA